ATATGCACCTTTGCATAACAGCCTAAACCTGCTCCTCTGCCTGCCTGGGCATATTGCATACGCTCAAGGTAAACACAAATCACTACCAGGGAAGGCAGACCTGGACTGCCGAATTTCCCATTTCTCTTACGGGTGCAGACAACATTTAGAATGCAGCCTGCTGCCTGTCTTTGTAAATAAAGTTTTATTGGGCCATAGCCTCGCCTATTTGTTCATGTGTCCTCTGTGGCTGCTGCCCTTCCCCAACAGCGGAGTTGAGTAATTGCAACTGCTCGTGTGGTCTGCAAAGCCTGAAATACTTACTCTCTGGACCTTTGCAGGCAGGGTTTGCTGCCCCCTGCCTCAGAATTACTTCTAGTCACTAAATGGGGGAAATAACTGAAATGAAACAACAGAGATTTAAATGCAATATGAGGAAGAAGTTTCCCCAGGAAGAAAAGATCAGTAGCGACGTGAGTTGTCACCAGAGGATGCAGTACAGGATCTTTGGGTTGCCTCTTTCTCCTCTGCTGTCTCCTCCTCCATTCCCAAATGCCCCCATCGCTTCAAAGCAAGGCTGCCACTCCAGGTCCTCCTGGTACCTCCTCATGCCATCTCGGGGGATCTCAGCTCCTACAACTGCCAGTGCCACACTGCTCACCTCCATGTCATGTATTTTCCTTGCTTGCTTGGTCAGCTTCCCCAGGCAAACTAGAAACACTTGGGGGAGTGTATCTCCCTGCATGGGGTGGGGGACCCTACAGGAAAGAGAAGGTGCACTCGAATCATCTAACTGAGGAGAGCTGGGTACAAGAACCATTTACTACATTGTGGGCAAGCTAAGGTCAACCGACAAGAGATGGGCTAGCAACATCCAAGAGCCATTACTATGAAGAAGCCTGAAGGGGCATGGGGAGAAGGTGCCAGACGATGGGGAGATCAGTGGTTATAACTACAGCCAGAGTTTTAGGAGAGGGTTGTCCAAAAAAAAAAAAAAAAAAAAAGCTGCAACCTTAGGCAGAGGAGCCCAGGCAGGGAGAGAGCAGGAGAACAAAGACTTGGACCTCTGAGCTCCTGTTGGTTCCTCCCGTTGGCCAAACACAGCCAGATGTCGGGAGGCAAGGTCCATGTGGTACATCCTCAAGGGGTGCAAGGCCAGAGGTAGAGAAAGACAAAGAGGGATCTGGAGGAGAAAATGAAAACCATCCAGCCCATCCCCATAGCAGGTTGTCAGTGATGCTTGTTGATTAACTTAGTGTTGATGTGTATGGTAGGAGGCCTGATTACTATAACGACTTGGATGGAAATCGTCAAGAGGCTGAAGGATGAACTGAAGGACCTGTGTCGGTCCATTTCTGCCGCACAAGTCTATCACAGTTACACTGCTGTCAGAGCTGGTATGGCCAATGTTTGTTTTCCTTTAGTGTGGAAAGAAGGAAAGAAGATACCAAGGAAAAATTTGCAAAAGAAACCACCACTCTCATCTGTGCTTAAAAGCTAAAAGTATTCCCCCCCCAAATTAAAAGAAAATGTTTGCCATTGCAATGTGAGCTGGTAAAAAAGATAATTCACTTGCCAGCATGCTCATCAGCTAAATGCTGTCACAGCTACAAGTGTCAAACGGCTATCCGTGCAGCCTGAGAATGAGTCTTGCAAATAGGAAAGCACAGTAGGAAATGATGACTTTTTCTGATCAAAAAGCATCCTGGGGAGGGCTGAATGGTTTTGGGTCAAGAAGAGGCCTCGATTTCTGGAGCGATTTTTATTGTTATCAGAGAGAAGGCTGTGCTTTCCGCGGATATATGGCTACCCGGCACACTCCCACTGGTGGAGGCAAACTGCAGTCGCTTGTCTTTCTCTCCGGGTCTTTACCCCCCACGTCAAAACAGATTCTTCATTTCAGTTTCACTTACCTGTCACTTTCTCCCTAAAAGGGGTGATTTATAAAGTAAAAAAATCATCAACATCAAAGAACACTTCAGCGTGTTATCAGGGCACACTGCGCATGTGCACACACACACATACACACCCACACACACGCACACACTCAAACTCTCCCCCACACCATGTCCTAAAAGCAAAATTGTGACTAAGGACCACAAACTTATTTCCCCCAATTGGAGCTTTTCTGAGTATTTGGACTGTGAGTGTCTTTATCCTGTGGGTCTTCCAGCTTAAAAATTTAAAAGCCATTACAAGGGAGCTATAATTTCTGCTCAACACTTCAGTGATTTGATTATATAAAATAAAAAGTGTAATGAAGTTAATAGTATCTTATTCTTACAATACATTATGAGGAATTTTCTCCTGCAAAATCTGAAAGTGGAAATTACCTCTGGGCCCCCTAACTCTCAAAAATATGGGTCCTGATGATTACTGCAATGGAATTGCAAGACTTAAGAACTTAATATGTTTCTCTTTCCTCTATTCAGTTTCCCAAAAGGCCATCTTCACTTCCTGGGATAGTACCTAAGGAAAGATAAAGAACTGAAGTGACACATAAAAGACCTGTGTTCTCCTCTTGGCGTGATCCTAGTTGTGTGACCTCAGGAGGAGCAGGTAACCTCTCCAGTCTTTGACTGTTCTATTTCGCAGCATCCCTTAGCGACAGTCATCCCTACCTGCTTATTACCTAGTGATTTATGTGGTTTCAGCACAGAGCCAAAGAGGAGCGTGATGTCTCGGGTTCAGGTCCCTTATAGGCCACCACCTTTGATTTATCCCCAGTGTAACTCTCTTCCTGACAGTTGAGATGTGTTCAAGGTGGTTTCGACAGATCTCACTCCCAAAGAACCCAGTCAAAAAGAATGCTCTTGTTGTCGTTGTCCTAGCAGCAGCAACATACTGAAGGAGAAAACATATTAATAATACTAAAACCGAAGGAAAAATTGTAGTCACACTTGGCCTGAATGCTGCAATGTTTGACAGCATTTAAGCATCCCCATACACGTAGTAGTAAGAGAGGGTAGGCTTGTTCAGAATTTCCCCAACCTGGGCATACAGATGTAACACTTAATCCGTCTCCAGGAAACAAGGAAGATATTTCAGTAGTGTAAAACTTCTCCTAAACATGATAGAGGGATATTTAGCAGGATTAATTTTCCCATGTGGTGCCAAGCAACAAGTTCTCATTTTCTCTTGTTTTTCTATGCCAGCAAGTCAAGAAATAGATTTTCAGCCTGCGACAAGTCTCAGGGTACAGCCATATGCCAGGAGGAACACAGGCTTGGTTTTGGGTTTTCAGCTAGCACTGGTAACATGATGGGATTTTACTTACGCCCGTATTGGAGCCGTCTCTAGGCAACATTGAAATGTGGGCAAAGGCTTCACTGACACTGTTTTCTCCTCTGACTTGCAGGTACCCAATACACTCACGGTAACCCGCTCCCTGACCTGCTGCTCTGTCCGGCCCCAGCCCCGCCTTCCCCAGGCCCTGTGCTCATCATTCTCCTGTTTGCCAGTCCCTCAGCAAAATGCTGCTCATCTGGTTGACATCTGGGAACAATTCAAGGCCTTTTATTAATGAGTGCTACTATGAATTATTGAAAGACAATAACTTAGTATGCTTGCCTTTATAGGATATTTGCATATTATTTGAGACCTAAGGCAGAAATCTGTGGCTTTGGAGACCAACCCATCAGGATGATATTTCTGGGTTAAGAGAATCTTTCTTCAGCTGCTCACATCATACCATATGGCCGTCTTGTCCCTTGCCTAGGCCTGAGGCAGACCCTACTGGCATGTTAATATGTAGGAAGTGTTTTTTCCTGCAGAAGAGTGCCTGAGAAATTATCTCTTTATCCCAAGTTTTCCCAGAAGTTGAAAAGAGAATATGCATATAAACGCAACACACATACACTATATTCACCACATTCTACCTGGAGACGGCAAGATCTAGGAAATGAGATGTGGTCACATCCACTGGGAGGAGAAATTAAAATACTACCAAAGTCTTTAGCCTCTGAAGTTTTGCTGATCGGCGGTGCACAGCCCACATAGGCCCCGAAGCGGACTCTGAACACCAAGAGAAGAACCCGACATAAACACTTAATGCAATCTTTTCTCAATTTCCAGAAACTCACATCTATGAACAGTGTGTGAGGTAGAGCCTTGGCCTATGGGCTAAATAGCTAATCTGCACATGACAGGACATGACTTACAGCTGCAGAGTGTGAAAGGTGCAACTGATAAATCAAACCAACTAACATTTCATCGAATCCCTGCTCTGTACCAGACCCCAGGCCAGGAGCTGGGAGCGTACAAGTGAATAAAGCACGTCCCTGTATAACATGCTAAAGAAGGAGCCAAGTTAATTTCTGCTTCAGTCGGTGAGCGAAGAGAAAGGAATGACTTGCTTGATTTGATCTCTTGCTCTATGCGTGCGCATTATGGAACAGAAGAGGTGACCCATACGTGTTAGCCCAGAGACTGTCAGAGAATGGCCAACCTCCAGATATTGGTGACTTAGTCGGTTTCGCTGGACTAACCAGATTCTCATAGCTGAAAGCAAACCCGACCAGGTTGTTAAGAATGATGTTCATTGGCCTTAAAACTCTGAGAAAGTAAGTTTACGGACAACTGAACCAATTTACGCACCTAAGAAGATCTCAGACACTTTCTTGGCTCTTCGATATTTGAAGCTATACTGAATTCTTGTTCAACTTACCCCCAAAGTTAAGATAAATGGGTGATGGAACAACTATATGTAGGCTTGGCTTTTGGCATCAGCTGTATAGTAGTTTTTTTGTATAGGCTAAAGTCTACTTCAGCTGGAATTAATCTAATTATATATAATGTTGACAGATTATGACATTTACCTATTAAGACACTATACAAACATTCCAATAATTTGCTGGCTTTTGAGTTTGTAAAAACTAAATGAAACAAAATCCCAGGGGATGTTGCTAATGGGGTAACTGGAATAGAGGTTTCAAAAGCACAGAGTTCAGGAAATAACAGTCAAAGAATAATGCAGTTTAAGCCAAAACATATAGAGTGGTAAATGAATATTTAGTACTTACCACAAGACTGCTGTCTAGAGACAGCCTTTTTCCAAAGTCCCTTTTCTCAAGTTGTCTTTTTCCCTCCATGGGTGAAGTTATTTATTTTCCTTTGTGATTTATAAGAATCCCCCGTCTGTTTCCAGGGTCACTGCAAAAAGTGAACATGTGTTTTACTATCCAAGTGCACAGTGTTTAGACCTTTGTTTTTAACTTTCTAACCAGAAACAAGTGTGGGAGCCAAAATATACCCAGACCCAAATATTAAGTATAGAACTGGGCTCTCTCAACTCAAAAGAGCTCTCTAGGTTACAAATGTCGGAGTTGTCTTTATGGTGGCCCCCTGTGTTTTTACAGGTTTTGCTAATGGAGTTGGGGAATGGGTTTGCAGGTTGAATCAGCAGACTGCGGAAAAAAGCAAACAGTCCGTTTCATGCCACACTTGCTCCACACCCATTCTCTCTCTACCAGCCAAAATCATTCTGTTACTGTGCACATAGATGCTGTCTGCAAATTCCATCAGCTCAAACTGACAAAGCCATGCTCCATGACCAACAGTTATTGAGCTCAAGGCCCAATGAGAGGAAAACGAAACATGAACATTCATGTCGATATTTAATTTAAAAATATTTAATTTAAAAATATTTGAGGAACACTGTAAGATACATTCTTTTTGGGACAGATTGATTCAGAATGAATGGTGGATGATGTCATTATTGTCAAGGAGTATTAACGGAACATCCACTGCATTTTACCACATCAGATAAAGTTCATCGATGCACGCCACTGAGATTGCTTGTTCTAGAATCATTAAGTATTCTGGTTAATAAGGACTCTTTATATACATAATTGAGTTTTAGCTTCTAATATTTACCAAGATCTAAAAGATGTGACATAAAAGAAATGAGTTTCAACCCAGGCTTTCTTATCCATTAGCCAAGTGACCTTGAACAAGTCATTTACCTCTGTGAAACTCATTTTTCTAAACTGCAAAAACAACAATGGCAATCAAATGATGGCTTAAAGGCAATACATTAAATGATTTAAAGGCAATAAAAGTTACATGCAAGGTATAATTACTCACAGATTATATTTAGAAACAGTTAACCTGAAATATTAGTCAGTATGATTTGATATGTCCCTGTGATTCAGAAGGCACTTTGAGGTATAGAAATTTCTCGTAATCCTTACAAACAAACATAGCCATTGTACTGCTGATATAGAAGAGCAGAAATTAATAAAATGCTATACTAATCAGTTTTTTTTAATTGAAAAGAAATTGCTCCATGTCTGACATGGATCAGACTGGACCCTACAGCCCACAGTGTGTGGGTTGCTCTCTCGGTTTCCTCCATGCAGAGGGTGGAGACAGCTGTGCTGAGACAGGGTGTGCCCAAACTGTAGTCAGTCTCGGGACACTGATGGACCCGTTTTCTAGTTTAGGCTCCTTCCTCCACCTTAGTCGTTCCACCTCCCGCTCTTGGGAACCCTAATTTTTATATATCACTGGTCCACTCAGACCAGAGGACCAGTCAGAATTCAGGATAAAATCCAAACTTTTTAGCAACATTTTCAAGGTCTACTTCCTGCCAATGGGTCTTTTACAATCCCCAGACATGCTAAGCACATTCCTGAGACCATGCTTTTGATGCACCCCTTACCTCTATCTGGTCTAATCCCCCCCTGCTCCGGTGCCTGGCTCAGGTCTGTCTCCTACACAAGATCTTCCTAGACCTCTCCATTTGCTAATGTTTCCCTTTCTCTCCCAAGTTTTATAGAAGTCCTTAGGGACTTGCCTTATTAATCACCTTAATCAATTAAGATAGTTCTTTAAACATAGTAAATTCTTAATATGTGTTTGTTGGCAAGGCCTAGTAGTCAAAAAACAACTCTAGGCAATATTTTTCAGGAAAAAAGTTAGTTCTGTATTATTACTATAGGCAAAACTTTTAATCGAGTTAAATTTTTCTGCGGCCTGCCTTTCCTACCTTGAGCAGTTCCTGCACGCTTTGCAGCCCCGCCGCCCCATCTCAGCGACTGTATGCTTGTGGCTCAGAGCACCCTTTGGAGTGGTCAGTATAGCTAGAGAGACGACTCAGGCCCTCATATTTCCCCCTCCATCAAAAACATGCCCTTAATCTCAAAGTCTTAATCTCAAAGAGCACGGGGCTTTGACAGATCATAATAGATGATCATTTGGGCTTTAGCACATACATATTGAGTGCCTACTATATGGAACACCCAGTCCTTAGATGTAGGTGACACAGCTACGTACAAGAAAGACCAGGTCCCTGTCTTCATGGAACTTACATTCTAGTAGGATATGTAGAAAATAAATAAGCAAACCACAAACAAATAACTTCAAACTGTGGTAGGTACCTGCATGAAGGAAATAACCACCAGCAGATGGTGTAACAGAGCGTCAGGCATAGGGACAGGGAAACTTCGTGGATGGAATGGTTAGGGTAGGAGCCAGCCATGTAAAAAGATGAGTAAAGATCATTCCAGGTAGAGAGATCAGCCTTTCAGCTGGGAAGGAGCTGGAAAAGAGCTTTGTTAAGAGAGTACCAGTCTCTTAGGAAGAAAACAAGTTAGGAAGAGAGTGTGTGAGAAAAGTGTTGAGTTGTAGGCGACAACTACAGGGTCTTGTAGGCCAAGGTAACTCGTTTGGCTCTTATTTGAAGCACAGAAGTTAATTTTAGGGTTTAAATCCCCATTTTACTCCTAACTAGCAGAAAACATCAAACAAGTTATTTAACCTATTTAAGCTTCAGATGATTTGTCTATAAAATGGTATTAATAAGATTGTATTCATAGTAGGCTTATTGTGATAATCAGTGAGACAATCCATTTAAAGAGTTTTCCCAGGAGTTGGCATATAGTAGGTAAAATTAAAATATTAGATATATTGATTATCCCTTCTGGTGAATACGATTAAACTTATTAAAAGCAACTCTAGCTACTGGATTTTATGCTCTATCATAGGCTGATGAGGCTGTCACTTTGGTAAATGGGGATGCTTTTGATAGTTCTCAAATAGCTTAGTCTGCCTATGCAGAAAGCTGATTCAATGGCTTGATTTGGTCAATTTCTTCTTACTTTATGATGCCAATGATACAGGAAGAGATGATATTTAAATTATTTAGCAATGACATGGCATAGGTATTGGCCAATTCTAAAGGTTCAGTCCAGTCAGGACTGACAATGGCAACAGGCAATGCATCTTGGCCAATTACCAGCCAAAGTGCATGCACTGCCTCCACTGCAAGAATGTGAAAATGTGTGAGTTAAACCATAAAACAATCATGGAAATGATCAGAATAAAGTTATCCAAATGGATCAAAGCAAGGCCACCTAAAAGAAACAAAATGGCAACCAGGATGTGGCAATATGAAAAGGGGAAGTGGTCAACAAAGGGAAAGTCAGGACAGCTGATACTCAGTTCTATTTCTGGCACTGCTGGGAAGAGAGAGTGCCCATATATATCCAGCAGAGACTGAAGGTCTAGAGGGGAAATATGTATCAGATCCCGAAGACACCTGCAATTACATGGGGCCATTTGTACCATCCAACTAACTTAACTTGCTCAGAGACCACTGTTGTCAATCAACTGTCCAATTTTATTTGATTGCTATGTAGTTTTACTCATAGAAGAAGAATGTACTGACCAGAAAATATAAGTAGGCAATCTTTTAGAAAATAACATTTTTAGTACAAATTCGCAGTTTGGCATTTGACTCTATATTAATTATTCATGTTATTTGGTTAGTGTATTAGTCAACTTGGGCTGCCATAACAGCATAGCACAGACTGGGTGGATTACACAACAGAAATTTATTTTCTAACAGGTCTGGAGGCAGGAAGTCCATGATGAAGGTGCTAGCAGAGTTGTTTTCTGTGAGGCCTCTCTCCTTGGCTTGCAGATGGCCGCCTTCTCGCTGCTCTCTCACAAGGCATTTTCTCTGCAGGTGCACATCCCTGGTACTTCTTCCTCTTCTCATAAGGACACCAGTTCTACCATATTAGAGCCCCACTCTTATGATCTAATTTAACCTTAATTACCTCCTAAAGTGCCCTCTCTCTAAATATAGTCACACTGGGCATTAGAGCTTCAACGCTTGAATTTTGGGGGTACGCAATTCAGCCCATAACAGTTAGCTTCCGTCAGATTTCAAAGCCTGACCACATCTGAGTGTTCTAATAATCAAATTCCTGGATCTAAGAAACTGAGGGAAAACCCTGGGTGGCAGTGGCTGCTCCCTGACCGCACCCCTTTCTACTTGTTGACTGTTGGATCTTTCTGCCCCTCCCCACCTAACCCTACTGTACTCTCCTCTCCTCTGCATTGCAGGTGTACTGGTGCAACCTACTTTACCAAGATTCTTGGTCAGTGGGTTAATGTTGAATTCTGCCAATGGGAAGCAGCGAGAGGAGATGAGAAGGCAAGAGGAAGGGGGAAGCCATTCTGTTTCCAGCTCTGGCAGAGTGGCATCAACAGCAGATGACTGCAGGCTCCAGAAACTTCTGATTCCTCCAGTAGCTCAGCTAAGAAAGGGCAGTAGCAATGCCCCCATCTGTGAGTACCACCACCTCATACCTTTTGCTCCTCCTGCCCTTGCAATAGCTTCACACAAAATTCCTTGCATTAAATCCCTCTCTGCTTGAAGTATCTAGAGTAGCTTCCTTTTTCCAGGCTTGACAGTGTTTGATGCACACCCCATGGAGATGCCTTTTGACAGGCAGCAAGCCTTCCTTGGGAAACACCTGGATGTCTTCTTGTGAGCCTTCTGAAATAATAGCCTGGGATTGTTGTCTAATAAACACTAAGGCTCTGTAGGGCAGAGACAGTGTTTTATGTTCTAAGTTCTCACAGGTAATATTAATACAGTGCTTAATGCATAGCAACATGATGAACATTTGTTGTTTGCATGAATACATGAATGAATGAATGAATGAATGTTGACAGCTGTCTTTGTGAACATATAAAGAGCAGGGCAGCAATATCGTGTCGTTAAAACAAAGAAATGCTATACACATTTATTACAGTGAAGTTTTAGCCAAACACATATAGACACACCCAAGCCTCAAAG